TGTTTTTCCTTTGTTTCTAAAAATCAAACCAAAAACGTGTGTTTGAATTTCTGTGTTTAAAATCTTTTAATTTTAATATTTTTAGAGGGCCATTTTAATTTTAAATAATATAATATATTCTCACCATCTTTCTTAAATCATAAAATATATGCATTCTGAGGTGCAAGGTGCAAAACATTTTTTCAAATTTATTTGCAGGGATGCTAAATTACGGTAATGCAAATGATTTACATGCAAACTCTGATTTATTTTTATTTCAAAGTTTACCTTATTTTGCTTGATTGTAAAATAAGATGTGATGCAGAATGTAGTAAAACCTAAAACAAAATTAAATTAGAAATTGCATTCTTTTCATTTACACTAGTGAATGACGCCATACTAATTATGGGGAATCGGTAATATTAAATTTACATTGTGGAATCAATATCGATAAATTTATATTTATTAATATTTTAAATAATTATTATGAAAAATAGCTTTTCAATAATTATTAGAATATGGATAATTTTCTTTTGTTATGATATATAGAGGGTTAATGATTAAGGGGGTGTTCTGTAGTGTGGATGAGAAATTGGTGGGTGTGGACTGGTCCACACCACACCCTATGGTAGGGACCAATCCACACCAAAGTTCAAAGTATCGACACGTATTGGCCCGTACGTGTCATTCTGACACCCCTCTGATACGCCCCTACAGTGGGTGTATCGAGGGTTTGATTGGTCTAGGGGATGGAGGAGACCTAAACCGGCCCCCTTGAACCGGTTGCAAAAAAAAATAAAAAACGTATAAAAAAGGGTATCAATTCGCCTGATACGCCCATACCGGCGTATCGATATTTTGAACCTTGATCCACACCACACCACAGTCCACAACTATTCTTAACTGTGGACAAATTGTGTGGACTGGATCAGTCCACACCCACAGTGGCATTCTACAGGTGTGGTGTGGAGTAGTCCACACCACACTTTTTGATTCCATGTATCTCATATACATTTATGAATAATCTACACCAACATTTTAAAAAATGACCCGAAAACAGAATTGTTCTGGCCACCTGTATCTGGGTCAATGGTCCGATCGTTTGGTTCGAATGAACAACCCATTCTAACAAACAAATTAAAAATAAAAAATAGTATAAAACCGTTGAACAGGTCAATGGGTCAACGGTTCGATTGCTCGAGTCAACGGGTTGTTGACTTTTTCAACATTTTTGGCAAAAAACTAGGTTTGGGGTAAAATGGAACCGCTTGCTTGAACGGTTCCCGGGCCGAACGGTTCAACTATCTGGGTCAACGACAGTTCGAAAGCCTTAGTCTACATAGTTATACATAAATATCTAATTTTTGCATTTTATATGATAAATATATTGAAAATGCATCAATGAATTAATATTGACTATTAAATATTATTTTTTTATGAAAACAATAGTAAAATAATTAAAATTTAAAAAACATATATTTTAAATATTCTAAATATTTTAAGTATTATTTTATTGATAAAATATTAAAATTAAAAAAAATTAAGTAAAATAATTAATATTTTATTGACAATAAATATTAAAATGTGAAACAAACAATAGGGTTTCGGTCTTTTTGGGGAAGTGTGAAGTAGCGGATCAAAAACCAAGCGTGGATGGTCCCTAACCACGATATTTTGCCGTGGATGAGAAATAGGGATGTGGAGTGTCCACAACCTACAAAACAAGTGTTAATCCCGTGGACATGAACACAACAACGAACACCCCCTAAGTGAGATTGATAGAATGTAGGCAGAATTGGTTTTGGATAACCACTTTTGCATTTTTTACATTTTTTTAGGAATAGATTGAAAATAGTGGTAGTGGGTTATGGGCTTTCAACTTCTCAGAAAATACCATGCGTCTTGCTTTTTAGAAAAATGAGAAGGCCATGTGTCTAAATGGTGGGGAGCTATAGCTTGGTAGTGGTTTGTGGGTTTAGCAGGAATTTCTCAGAAATTATCATGTGTTTAACTTTCTAGAAAATGAGAAAGCCACTTATATTTAAATGGTAATAGTGAGCTATAGACTTTAACATTTCTCAGAAAATGACATATGTCTAGATTTGAAAAAGCCACATATGTAAATAGTGAGGGTTGTAGCTGAAAACCTTTCTTTAATATATATATATATATATATATATACCATCCCATTTGTTTGCAGCTTACTGAATTAATAATATTGGTTTTGGGTTTACTATTTCCGGGAATATCCTACTACCCTTCCAGAGCAAACGGTGTCCAAATCAGATGAACTAAAAATAAATAAAAAAACAATTTACTATTTTTATAAGGGTAAATAGATTAAATCTTCCCTGTAATTTTTAATAGTTGCCGATCCGTATCCTGATTTATGCTAATAGCACTGTTTTCGCTTATTTTTGTCTGACATTGTTGCACACCCCTTCCATTAATTAAACGATAAACAGGGCTGGTTGATATTAACATCCCGATATTTTTAAATATCAAAATTGCCCTTTAATAAAAACACTAGATTTTACATTGATTGTTTTCATGACTTTCCCTGTGCTACTCACTTGACGGGCCTTTACTGCCATATTCCCGACTATCAAAAGATATAAAATCTTGTACCCACTTAGATATAGTGCAATGATAAAATGGTCGGCATGGTTTTCAAATCATCATTCATTGGATGGTTTAATTTGAAAATTGCGTTCAGGTAATCAATTCTGCTTTATCCTTAACCCTTATCTTAATTAGAAACGTTGGGTTGGTTAATGATTCACTGATCCGAGCGATCAAACCAATGATCCCTTCAACTCAGACAATATTTTTAGTCATTTTTAATTTTTATTTTTTAAAATTAAAGTAAATCATTCAATCGAACTAAATAGTCAAACTGCTAACAAGAAACTGATGGCTAGGGGTGGCAAGTTACTCGAGCTCAACTCGGTTCGGTTTCAACTGAGCTTCGAGTCAAGTTCAAACTTAATAGAGCTTGGCTCATGAGCCGGCTTGAATATATATATATATATATATATATATTATAATAATAATATATAATAAAATTATTATAATTCTTAATTTTTTAAATATCAAATAAAAAATATTTATATATATAATTTTTTATTTGTATAAAATATTTTTCTCAAAATCAAACTCAAACTTACGAGTTTTTGACTCAAGTCGAATTCAAACTCAAGATTTTAGCTCAAACCAAATTCGAGTCTTATAGAATAGTCTCAAGCCGGGATTTCACCTAGGCCCTTTGACTATTTCTCCCTTGTAGGTAGCCTGCCTTCATCACTTACGAGTTTTTGACTCGAGTCGAATTCAAACTCAAGATTTTAGCTCAAACCAAATTCGAGTCTTATAGAACAGTCTCAAGCCGGGATTTCACCTAGGCCCTTTGACTATTTCTCCCTTGCAAGTAGCCTGCCTTCATCACTCACTAAGTACGAGCTAAGTTTGAGTCTAAGGTTGCAAATAGTATCCGATTATCCGATTTCGAATTTGAATTTGATGTTATCAAGGGTTATCTGAATTTGATTCGTTTATAATAAGATTAAATATGAATCTATCCCTATTCGATCTCATATAATTCAATTTTATTCGATTTATATATATATATATATATATATATATATATATATAAATTATATTATATCTGTGAATGAAAATTTTATACTCAAAAATATATTTAATATATGCTTATATAAAATTATATTTTATATAAGTAATTTTCAATTCACTTTGTTCATAAAATATAATGTTAAAGTCATTTTTAGCTCATCTTATTAATAATATATAATATTTTGGTCATTTTTTAGTCTAATTTATTTATACTATTTAATATCTTATTATAATTCGAATTCGATTTGAATCTGCTATATATACGATAAATATGTTTTGATTTGAATTTGAACATAATCAAATCAAATTTGGATATACCTATATCTGATTTGATCCGATCCATTTGCAGCCCTATCCAAGTCGTCCTGACAACTTTTGATCGCCATCAGATAATAAGGCTGCAACTTGGGTCAAATTGACTCAAACCCAATCCGAAAAAAAGATGAGTTGGGTCGGGTCGAGTTGATGCTCAAGTTAGAGTTAGGGTTTAAAATTGGGAACCCGACTTTACTTCAAATTGGGTTAGGGTTGACCCCTCGAGCAACACAACACAACACAATCTGAACCCGACTCTATAGTACATATCATATATAAATATATTATATATATGATATATCATACATGGATTTGTTTATATGCATGGTAGTTGTATAGCCCCCACCACATAGTATCATTTATTTCTTTTAAGATAATCACTTCACTTAATCCTACTTAGAAATACTGAAGTCTTAATTAACATATTTATGTTTTTGAATATTTTATTCTTTGTTTCATCTATGTTGTTAGCTACGTATAGCTTGCTGCCCATAAAAGATTTATTATATTTCATAACTCATAATAAACTATAGTCATTTCAAACTTTTTTTTTTCTGAATTTTATACTTGAAAGAACAAATAAAAACATCAACAAACAAATACTAATAAAATATAGGATTAATATATGTAGTGAAAGTTGAATGAAGATATGAGATTACAAGGGATGGGAAGAGGGTTGGTTTCGGCCCAACCCGAACCCAACTAGGATTGGCCTCAACCCGACGTAACCCAGCCTGACTTGCAACCCTATTAGATAACATATGCAAATTTTAACATAACTCATGGAGATTGTATGAACAATAATCGTGAATGAAAATTCAGAAAAAAAAATCTTACATTTGTTTTTATGAAACGGCAGACGTGGGCTATTTCGGTCATTTCGCCTTTCCCGTCAGTCCGAATTAACGGAAGAGGTGTAGATGCGACGATATCAGAAAAAATAAGGGAGGGCAGTGTTATTAGCATAACAACCCGAAACTTTCAGAAATTACACGGTGGTTTTATCAATTTACCCTTTTATAACGTGGGAAAAAGTCTAAAATGTCTAATTATTGATCCAAACCAAACATGTCCCCCACTCGCTCTTTATATTAAGTAGCTGCTTTTGCTCTCCCCCTCGCATTCCCAATTTCAACCCAGCATCTCTCTCTCTCTCTCTGACCCAAACAATGGCTCTCTCCAAAACTGCGTCGGAGTCCGATGTCTCCGTTCATTCTACCTTCGCTTCGCGCTACGTCCGAACTTCTCTTCCCAGGTGTTTAAGCGATTCTACTCTCTCAGTTTGTCTGTCGGTGAGATGGAATTCCAGATTTGAAGGTCATAAGAACTGACGGTGGTGGATGCAGGTTCAAGATGGCAGAGAAGTCGATCCCGAAGGAAGCGGCGTACCAGATCATTAGCGACGAGCTGATGCTGGACGGGAACCCCAGGCTGAACCTAGCCTCCTTCGTGACGACATGGATGGAACCGGAGTGCGACAAGCTCATAATGGCTGGCATCAACAAGAACTATGTCGACATGGACGAGTACCCCGTCACCACCGAGCTCCAGGCAAGTCTTCTGTCCTCCTTCATCCCCCCTTCACCGGCGATCACTCCTATAGCCCTATGCTTTCTTTCTTTCTTTCTGTATAGATTACCGCCATTACCTGCTTACCAATCGGTCGGTCAGAAAATCGGATTCGACAAATCCGATTTATTCCGTTTTTCTGTGGGTGGGTCCCTCGTTACGTTGTATATCTGCCTTTAGGCCTGTATCGCGTTATATTCCGCGAACCGCAATTAACGAGTGGATCCCACTAGTCGGGCAGCTTGATGATGTTGAGGTTGCGGACCTTGTGGTTCTACACTTCTACCATGGCCTACACCTTTGGATTGGAATATCTCTCCTAGCTGGAGTTTTGATAGCGTGACGATAATTGCTACGGAGCCTTGATGCATACGGTAAAAGTAGGACGCTGGAGTTTTGATAGCGACTGTGATGGATGGTTGGGGACAGTGTTGGGAGCGATTATTGGTATTAGATCTGAATTCTAATGGACCCGCATTAAGTGCAGAATGAGGTTGTTTCCTGGTGAGGCGTGATGGAATACCGCCTGGGCCTACGGAAATACTGTAGCCCCATTGATTTTACAGTGATGAAACTTTGGGGATACCCGATTTTCTGTGTTTCGTTACGGGAAGTTTACGCTTTGCGGGACGAGATTGGCTGCTTACAAAGCACTACCACAGGCGCGCGACAGCCCATCCTATCCGTGCATTGGGAATATCTCCGCGTGACAAGCACGGGAGATGTTCGCAGTGCACGGAGGCGATGGATTGTGGGGCGCGCTTTGTGGGCAGCCTATTCGATCAGTACACTTTGAGCCATTTTGGGTTCTTTTCAATATAATCTTTTTTTTGCAACCGTACCCCTATGGTTTAGTGAATTTTCATCTTGTGCCACATCTTTTCCTGCACTTTCCTTAAGTTAGTATTCAATCAGGTCGATTTTCATCAAAATTCAGGGTTGTAATTGGTCAACCATTTTGATATCAAGTTCATCTGGCATCATAGATTTTTTATTTGAAAATCGACCCACTTTTGCCTCTAGGTTTCCAGTTAGCGGTTCAACCATGTGGTTCAAATGGATTGATCTGCAACGTCATCACAAGCATGATGAAATATTTAAAATATAAAAAATATAGTTATGAGCCTAAGAACAGTTGTTCAGGTCGAATGGCTTGACAGTTTAATTGTCTGGATCAACATTTTATTTATCAAATCAATGACATTTTTTTGCAAAATAACTTGTCGACCTAGAAAGGTCACCGATTCCTGTAGATGGAAGTGTAGGAGAGAAAAATCAAAAGCCGAATAAATCAGTGCAGGATCTATACCCCTAAGACAGATAGAAAAAAAAGACTGTAGAAGAGTAAAATCGTTGAATGCAACCATGGAAATGAATTCCATTTCAAACCCATCCAACCCTGATAGTTGTTTCCTTCTCAAACACGGAATTGAATACTCAAAATCCACTAGTTCTATATTGGACCACCAAAACAATCAAACCCAAATGTCAGAATTTTCTCCCTTTAAATTCTGTCCCTGATTCCATTTCTACCCTGAATTGTAGAAGTTCGATGTGTCATTTTCTGCTTTCCTATTAGTGAAACCCAAGAAAAAACATCTCAAACTTCGAATTTAGTGCTTCATGGGTCCCACGACGGCTGCACGGTTCAAAGAGTTGCATAAAAACTCCTTGATATGTCTGTTAAAAAGTATGCAACTTTATTTTATTTTTGTCATTTCATGGTTGGCCTCCTAATAGACCAAAGTTTCCAAGTGGAAACTCGGCAAAGCTTAGGACCACAACTCTTCTTCTTCTTCTAGGTAAAATTTTGCTACTTTATCTTTGAACCAAAGCAAACGGATAACATGTACAAGGTAACTTATCCATACTTTGTATGGTTTTGAGCAACTGGTGGGCCAAATAATATAACCAGACATGGTCACATAGACCACTCAATATGCTCCAAAATGTCCCTATACCCATTATACTATACTTGTAAATTCAGTAATTCCGGTACTCATGCACTTGAATGGCATAGAATGAAAGTAATTAGAATATTCTAGTTCTATTTTATTCTATGATTCAATTCTGTCCTTAATTTTAATTCTACCTGACCCAAAACACATTTCTTTGAAATTTATAGCTTTGTCTTCAAATAAATGGTTTTTCAGCAGCTGGTAAGCCAAATATTATAATGAGACACTGACCACTCAATTTGCTACAAAGCACTGACACGTCAGAATCAGCACAAAATAGGGTAATTAGAATATTCCAGTTTTGTACTTTTCACCGCCATGACATGATCCAATAATCTAAAGATGTATCATATTATGATATATGGGGTAATTAAAATATATCATACTATAGTGTATTTGTCACTATAGGTCAAGTATGTATCATATTATGATATATGGGGTAATTAAAATATATCATACTATATCACAGTATAGTGTATTTGTCAACTATATTTTGGGTGGTTCAGAGTTTGGAAGGAGTAAATATGTAGAGTGTAAAATCTTGCATTTTGTATGTATTTACACTGTATATATTTGTATTTGTACTTATTTCAAACACATTAAGAAATTAGGCATTGACCACTCAATGTGCTCCAAAATGCCCTTATACTTTTTTCACTGTACTTTTAGATGTTAGACTTAAAGAAAGAGTTTGATTGTTTCAAAAGAACCGGTCTCAGACAGGAGAATGGAAAAGGAAGGAAACAATAAAAGTCAAGGTTACTCCATTGGAGCACTTAGAATTTGATTTTAATATTTAAGCCAATGAGAAAATAACGTAGAAGATGGATGTCTTCACCATTAGAGTACTTTTAATAAAATAAGAGAAAAAGTCTACTATACTCAAACTTGTTTAATTGGTCTTTTCTCCTTTGATTTGTTTTTTTTTTTTTCTGCAGAACCGGTGCGTGAACATGATTGCACATTTGTTCAACGCTCCACTCGGAGAATCAGAGGCTGCCGTCGGAGTAGGGACTGTGGGGTCGTCGGAGGCGATTATGTTGGCCGGACTGGCATTCAAGAGGAAGTGGCAGAACAAGAGGAAGGCCGAGGGTAAACCCTGTGACAGTCCCAACATCGTTACGGGTGCTAATGTTCAGGTATGTGAATTGGGCTCGCCCAGTAAATTATAAAATATGGGCGAAGAAGCCCGATCCAAATATTACACATTGTGCAGTGTGGTAGAAGTATTGGTCTATTACTCATCAAGTCATCATATTGAAAGTAGGTTTTTGCTTGAAGATTTGGTTAGGGTTAGGGTTGACAAATATGAATCCCACTTGACTTGGGGTTTAAGGCTGAGAGGTCAACCCATTTAACCCAATCCGATCAGTATATTTATTTAATGGGTCCACTATGACACCGAAAAGACATGACATTAGAAAAACTTGGTTTGACATTAGAAAAACTTGTAACCAATCAACCAGCATCATAAAAGTGATAACCAATCAGGTGGGTTGTCATCAAAATTCATGGGTTTGATTGGTCAAAGTTCTTCTGCCATCATAGTTTTATGGCATCATAGATACTGTCTTTTATATACACATTACTACACAAGTATGTGTATATATGCATCAACAATTTTGCGTTTGGAGATCAAGAATTTATTAGTGTAATATAAGTATAATATTCCTAAGTACCATACTGATCAGAAGTTTTTCAGATATCATATCTTTACGATATCATAGCCTAACCCAATTGTCTAATCTTAAGTTGAGAAGTGAGAACATTTTCCTAAAGCAAAAGGAATTCAAGAAAATGGCCCAACATGAGCCCAACCCAACCCAATGACATTTGCTGATTCACAACTTTGGTTTGGGTTAGGGCTGACTTCAACCAAACCTAACTAGGCCCAACTTGCATCCTTAGGTTAGGTCATGGCTTAACATCATTCACAATGACAATCTCTTGATGACTATGATGTACAGGTCTGTTGGGAGAAATTTGCAAGGTACTTTGAGGTTGAGTTGAAGGAGGTAAAACTGAGGGAAGGCTACTATGTGATGGACCCTGAGAAAGCAGTTGAGATGGTTGATGAGAACACCATCTGTGTCGCTGCAATCCTCGGTTCCACCCTCAATGGTGAATTTGAGGATGTTAAGCGTTTGAATGACCTATTGATAGAGAAGAACAAGGAAACAGGGTATGTTTGGCACTTGTAGTAGTGTGTATGTTTGTCAAATGATGAATCTTCCTCTACAGCGATTTAATCTTGATTTTATGACTATTTTGCAGATGGGAAACTCCTATTCATGTTGATGCTGCCAGTGGTGGATTCATTGCTCCATTCATCTACCCAGACCTAGAGTGGGACTTCCGCTTGCCACTGGTGAAGAGTATCAATGTCAGTGGCCACAAGTATGGTCTTGTCTATGCTGGGATTGGGTGGGTCATCTGGAGGAGCAAAGAAGATTTGCCTGAAGAACTCATCTTCCACATCAACTATCTTGGAGCTGATCAGCCCACCTTTACCCTCAACTTCTCTAAAGGTAATCACAGAAAAATTCTACCATAACCATGAACAAAGATGATCACAAGGGGGTTCATGCCAGAATAAGTCATTGACTACTGTATTTTATGAAATTACTACAGGTTCTAGTCAAGTAATTGCTCAATACTACCAGCTAATTCGCTTGGGCTATGAGGTGAGTTCATTAAGGAAAGCCACCAAGAGATTGTATTGGAATTATTGTCAAATAGATCTACCAAGTTGGTGCATTATAAGAAAAGAAACTAATAATTCTTGGGTTTTCTCTCAGGGCTATAGGAACATTATGGAGAATTGCAGAGAAAATACAATGGTTCTCAAGGAAGGATTAGAGAAGACAGAGCGTTTCAACATTGTGTCCAAGGACGAAGGAGTCCCCTTGGTGGCATTCTCACTCAAGGACAGTAGCCATTACACTGAGTTCCAAGTGTCGGACATGTTGCGCCGATTCGGATGGATTGTGCCAGCCTATACCATGCCACCTGATGCTCAGAATATAACAGTGCTCCGTGTTGTTATAAGGGAGGATTTCTCTCGAACTCTTGCTGAGAGACTTGTCCATGACATCCAAAAGGTCCTTCATGACCTCGACACCCTCCCTGCAAAGATCTCTGCGAAGCTAGCACTCAATGGTGAAGAGGGTATTCTTCCCCGCAAGAAGAGTGCCATTGAGACCCAGAGAGAGATCACTACAGCATGGAGGAAGTTTGTGATGGCCAGGAAGACCAATGGTGTTTGTTAAGAATTTGGACTTGAAGCCATCACGAGAGACACTACTGCTAAGTTTTTGTTTTTTTCCATTTTCCTTCTTTCTTTTACTTTCGTCCCTACTCCTTTGATATTTTAGAGTTCAATTAATTACTTGTCCCAAACCCATGTTTATGGCCTCTTTTTGAGTCTATGACTTTATATGATTTATCTTAAATTATTGAAAGATGTCATGAACAAACTAGTACAAAACTTATTAGCTCCCAAGTGCTGCATTTGTTTATTTGTTTATGATGCAAACATTGAAGTGATGGAAATATGGTTCAAGTTGGTGTTGGTTTGCTTAAAAACACAAATTTTCCATAAAAAAATTGTAAATATGCACTGAAATTCATGTTTCCTCTTAAAATGGATGCAAATTAAGTTTGCCTCCAAAATATAGATATAAAGCATTGCACCATTCTATGTGTTGTGCTTAGAGGAGAGATGCAAACACTGAGGAGTTCATGTACATTTCAACAATCTTCACTTATATCTGCGTCTCCTTTCATCCATATCAAGCACTTTTCCTCGAACTGAAGCCGTTATTATATGACTAAGGTGGCGTTCGGTAATCTGAACTCTGAAGTCTAAAAAGCAGAAAAACTTCTGAAAAAACTCTATAAGTATTCAGAGGAAGTTTTGTTTTTCTGCTTTTGCGGACATCTGAATTGAATGGAGTTGTTTGCTAATCTGAATGTTACGAGGTCTGAAAATTTTGCATTTTACAAATTTATCTCTCAAGTTCACTGCTTTCAAAACCGGACCGGACCGGACCGGACGGTTGGGCTGGAAAAACTGCCTGACCGGTTCCATTTTCCTCCAAAACCGTTTTTTTCCCAAAACCGTTGATTTTGGTCAGTAAACCGCTGAACTGGCTGATTAACCATTCGAACGGTTTTGACCGTTTTTTAAATTTTTTTATTTTTTTTGTCAGAATGGGCTAGCCGTTTGGGTCGAACGGCCAAAATAAGAAAAAGTTATAAAATAAGAAAAAGTATAAAATGTTAAAAAATAAATAATATTAAAAGAATAACATGATAAAATAAGAATAAAAAAGATTAAAAATCATTTTAAACAATAAAATAATAGAAAATTGTAAAAGCAATAAAAGCATTAGTAAAAATTAAACAATAGTTTAATGTAAAACAAATAGCAACCAGCTACTAATATGATTAGAATGTTACAATTATTGTAATAAATAATTAAAACATTATAAAATAATTAAATGTGATTAAAATTAGATGGTCTTAACAATTACTATGGGTGTGACAGCGTTGCAATGGGGACGGTTTACCTAGTGTGAACACAAAACGGTAATGTACAACAATAGAGGTGAAAGATTGTAATGGGTTTGGTTTCAGACCAATAGGAGCAAAGGTTCCAAGACAGTGATGAAGCGAAATCAGTTGATATAATAATCACAATCGAAGCAAGTGTGCGTTGGGGTTTATTCCTCTGCAGCACAAATTACAGGGTGATGGATTCTTGGTTCGGTTTAACGATGTTTGTGATGAGATGCAAAGTTCCTCTGCAACACAGTTCAGGTGGTCTCTGTTTTTTGGTTAGATGTTCATCCTCGTGATAGAAGCTCTTCCCAATAGGTGTAGTGATTGTTTGTAGCGGTAGAGAAATGAGGAAACAATGTGGGAAAAGAAGAAGTATAGACATTAGAGAGATGAAAAATGTGAACTGTTGGTGGCGATGATTTTAATTCATTGATTCAGTGAAGACGGTGGAGAGAGAGAGAGAGGGGGGGAAGATTCAAAAATTATAAATGGGCATTTTGGGGAACATCGTCCGTGTTTGGTTGCAGTGCAATTTTATTTGCACTAGTACAAAGGCATGGGAGTGCAAATGAAAAGAATGCAAAATTTAGTTTGATTTTATTTTGGATTTTATTTTATTTTGTTTATGTTTTAACTTACTTTATTTATACTTCAAACAAAACAAATTAAATTTTGAAACAAAATTAAGTCAAAATTAACATTCAAATCATTTGCATCGTCTCAGTGCAAATTTATTTGCATTACAACCAAACACAATCTAAAAGGATTTTGAACGTTAGTTCGGAGGTACCACCGAACTATCCCGAAACACCCGGGAAAGCAAAAAAAATTCAGTGCTCGGAGGTTGATTCAATACTACTGGACACCACCTAAGTTCGACATGCACTATCAAAAGCCTTTTACAAAATTAAGCAACGTTCTTCATCTCTGCACTATCCTAAACAAAAATGATCTTAAAACAATATATTGAAAAACATTTGCAACGTCTTAGTCAAAAGCAAAAAGAAGCAGAGATCTTGTATGCAACTTATTCAACAGACGCAGACCTCTAGTATTGTCCTGTATAATGGCCTGTTTGATTCACGGGAATGTCTAGAATCCGATTCCAATTATTTGGATGGGTGGAATTAGAATCTCATTTTTATTCCTGGTAGAATGACATCTCCTCATTTTGAGGGAATGGCCATTCCCTCCCTCTCCTTTAAGAATTAAATCTCATTCCAGCTGATTTCAATTTCTGTTTGAATCAAACAAATTATGAGAATAGACCATTCTGATTCTAATTCTAGGGACTCTGGTTCCAATTCTAATTCAGATTTTGACTGCGAACCAAATGGTCCCTAAAAGAGTTTCTCTATTTTGGTCCTAAACTATCAATCCCATTTAAAAGCTTAGTGATGTTCACTGCATGCCAATTATTTCTTAGTCTTGTATCTATTCTCAAAAATAGAGTTTGAAAATGGAGAAGGATTTCTTCTTGGGGTGCAAATGGATCGGATGATCTGATCAAATAGAGTTTAAAAATGAAAAAGGGTTTCTTTTTGGGGTGCAAATGGATCGGATGATCTGATCTAATCCAAGATTCGGTCATATTTTGTCGAATTCGGATCTCCCCCAATTCGATCCAGATCACCACTATCCAATCTGATATATATGTTATTTATTTATTTGTATAAATAACACACACACACACACACATATATATATTATTTATATTGTATTTTTATAAATTTATTATATTATTTATTTTTATAAAAAACATGTATATATATGATCAAAATAGTTGAAAAGATACTTGCATTTTTTGTGTTTATTTAAATTGTTATATTTTATTTTTCTTTTAATAATTTATTTATTTTTTAAAAAATATAACATATCGAATTAGATCTGAAGATCCAACTGTCCCATCGAATTCAAATTCAAATCTACGTTTATGATATTTGATTGGATCAGATCTCTCCTTAACAGTGTCAAATCGAATTCAGATATACCCTGTTTTGAATCCAATCTAATCCGTTTGCATCCCTAATTTCTTCTTGGTGGGAACGGGAATGTTTTATTATAAGTTTCCAAAAAGCAAAAGAACATAGAAAATTGGTTTGGGTGCAACTTGGGTGGGTCCAACTCAAGCTCGGATCGATCCAGCCTGCAATTTTACAAAAGTTGTACTTGGATTTCTGGTCCTTTGCTGTAGGCTTAGGCCCAAAAGTTCAGATTTTTCAATTTTTAGGTTGGGCTCGGGCCTTGTCCTTAGTTAGCCCAAATCTGGCCCTAGCCTGACCTGACCTTATCCCATTCCAAGCTTGAGCACAAACCCAAATTTTAGGTAGGGCTGATTTTCAAAAGCATGATTAAAATTTGAATTCGAATGTATTATCAGATATCTGTCTCGATTAGAATTATATTTATATTATGTAATATAAATAATATATATTATTTATATAATATAATAATATATAAATAATATATAGAATAGACATATAATATCTAAATATTATAATATTTCATAATTAACGGATCGAATAAGTCAATATCCGAATTCATCTATTAAGTTAATTGATGGCTTTTCCGATCCAATCTGATTTGTTAGGATCAAGAGGTATATCAGAGTCCACCTCTTAACAGATCAGTATCGAATTTGAATCGGATCTGGTCCAACTTATTTGCTGCCCTAATTTTAGGCCCAATTCTTAGGGTTGGGCTAAAACGTGGTCCATCGTGCTTGTCTTGCATCCCTAAACGTGGATGAGTTTAATTAGTTGTGAGTGAACTTAAAAATAGTCTTATATTTAATTTTTCAAATTAAGAAAAACAAAATTCTAAGAGTTGGAAAGCAAACGAGTAATCTAATGTAGACAATTGCGTTTTATAGAATAGAATCTATAGATTATAAGTTATTATTACGAGAAAAATAAGTATTAAAATTGAGGTATTTGGGAAAAAAAAAACAAAACGTATCCTGACTAGAACGTAATCGGGCATTTTAGAATCGGATTCAATCCAATATTCGGGAATTCAGATTGGATTTGGATTAATCCGACTCCGTTTTATTATCGTTAAAATAAAGAAAAATAAAAAAAATATTTTTAAATTGATGCATATATATAAAAGATGTACATAAATACAAAATATCATATCATAATGTCTATATATCTAATATTATTACGTATAATTGAATTCTGATTTTTTATCAGATCAGATGGGTTATATCTGCATGACTGCATCTGATCTGATTAATGAACGGATGCAGGTTTTAACTTATAAGTTTTGACATCCAAATCAGATAACGGATTCGGACCCACACCATGTATACGGAGCATTGTCATATTCACTCGCGATTGGTTACGTAGGCGGTAGGCCGTTAGACGCAGCGTGGCGAGCAACAAATCCCGAAATCCGGGCTCTTCAAAACGTCTAACGTGAGGATGCGAACCAATTATGATGCGCCACAAATGCATGTTATATGGGACCCACAAGTACACAGTTGACGTGGCGTATTGTGATTGATCCAGTATTACTCGTATAATTCTAGACAATTCGAACCTGAAATGGTTTACTCGGAAAAGGTCTCTACTCTCTACTCGTTCAATCGAACAAACAACCCAGCCAAATTGGAAAAAGGTTTCCTAAAATCCAACCGACTCCCCTCTTCATAACCGTCTCCAAATTGGAAACCCAGAATAACAGTTTCAATTTCTTGTTGTTCAGTATATGATACAAGGAATGAGATGCTATCCGCTCGCAGAAAAGAAGAAGAAGAAGAAGAAGAAGAAGAAGAAGGATCAAAAGTTTTTCGTCACGTTTTTGTAAGTTTTAAATTAAATTATATGTTCTCTTCTAATGAAATAATCCTTTTTTCTTATTTAGTTCCAATTAATATTTGCATCCGGGGAAATTGTTCGGATCATTCTGTTTTTCTTATTTGTTTTCGATTAATTACTTGCTATTTTTTACAAAAAAAAAAATACTATCTTTATTTGCTTGATGGTTTAGGGAGAAACTTAATTCATCGGTTATTATTCTGTATTAGTTATGCACTGATATTGTTTGTGGAAATTTCCGTTAGATTATGCATTGATGGTTTGAGTTTTTCAAATGCATGGCCTATGTTACCGAAAAGAAAACACTTATAATCGTAGTAGAAGCTATGAAACTCAGATTCTCTCTCCCCCCTCTAATCATCATCACTATCAGTAGATAGTGTGAGATGGTGTGTTTGAATGTCTTTAACAGCAGGATCTTCTGAAAGCAAAAGTCAGATTAATAGCGCTATTAATCTGTTCAAGCTCAAAAAGCTTGGGTCAATCCATGCCATTTTTTCAGCTCAAAAAGTCAGATTAATAGCGCTATTAGAATATTATGTTTATTAGTTTTAAACATAGTGCTGACAAAGAAACATATAGAAAAGAATTTATGTACGTGTATTGTTTTCTATTTTTGTACATGTAAATGCATGCATTTTTTATCCAAGTTAATGTTTAATTTGGACTAAGCACTCAAATTGATTCAATTATTTTTGTTTATTACTCTTTCTTTGATTTTGTATCTTTTATAATGTAAATAATAGAAGATTGAGATCATTCCTCTCTGGCTCTCTGCCTTATCTTCTCTTTCTTTTCTTCATTTGATTTTTTTGTATATTTTTTATATCATGCATGCTAATCAGGATTCAACTTATAATGCCTAGGTTAACAGACAACACGAGGCCCTATCAAGTCAATTAGATAAACCAATTAAGTGAACAAATCTTGTAGCCAAGGTTGCCTGAAAAATGGATTCAGTTGTTATTAAGGTGATTGAAGAACCAGAGTACTGCCCTCAGGCTGTGATTGATTGGTGCAAGCTTGGAGTAGACGAGATGAAGAAGAATAAGCATCTAGGTGTCAAAGCAAGGAAACATCTTTGATCTTTCAGCTGTTGGTTAGCTCCAAAGAAAAGCAAATTTGAGATGTGCTAGTCTTCTCCTGCAGGGAAGTGTTATTATTCACTTAAAATGTCTTGCAAAGGCTGCATTGAAGAAGGTTATCTTTATAGAAGTGCCCTTCAGAATTCTAAGGCACAGTTGAATTTCCATATGAAAGATGGAAAAGAAGAGGTTGTTCCAGTTTTGGGATGTAGAGAGCATACACATACACAGGATGGTGATAATGGCTACATAGATTCTGCCAAACAGATCAAAGGGGAGATTTCTGGTGCTGTTATCGAACAACATGAAGCGAATGTAGATGTTGAAATCACGGAGGGAGCTAATGAGACTGCATGTGACAGTTCTAATGCACCATTGAATGCCCATTTAAAGATCGAAGAAGACAAAATTACTGTTTTGGGGTCTCTCTCTAGAAAGCGCAGCCTCAAACCAGCTGAAGAGAACAATGTAGATTCTGTCAAGGTGAAGAAAAGCAAAACTTTTAAAGGCTCTCAAAAGAAAAGGAGAGAAGACTTTGATGTGAAACGTCCAAAGAAATCTAGTACAGTGCGGTCAAACAAAGGAGCACAAGCAATTGTAGTACCTCGACGCTATCCTCCAACTAATCTATCCATGCTGGTGGACAAGGGGGTGGTATTGTCGAATGCTATGGTTTATTTTATTAATAGAAAGGATGGCCGTAGGATGGCTGAAGGGAGTGCAACACGTGATGGGATTAGATGTCATTGCTGCAACAAGCTGTTTACACTTAGTGCCTTTGAAGCTCATGCTGGTAGTACCTTTCGGAGACCAGCTGCCTGCATATTTTTGGAAGATGGAAGGTCTTTACTAGATTGCCAGATTCAGATGATAACAGAAGAAAATAAGATGATGAATTTCATTCAAGGTCCAAATGAGAGAACCCAAAGGAACCAAACCTGTGAAGACAGTGATAATATATGCTCTGTTTGTCACTATGGTGGTATGCTACTGCTGTGTGATGGATGTCCCTCTGCATTCCATTTGAGTTGCCTTGGCTTAAACCATCTACCAGAAGGAAAATGGTTTTGCTTCTCTTGTAAATGTACAGTATGTGGTCAATGTGGAAACAAAGGAGATATCGAACTATCTAGAGAAATGACTATTTGCTGTGATCAATGCAGGCGCAAATTTCATAAGGAATGCTTAAGCATGGAAAGAAAGGTAGTGAGAGGCAATTGGTTCTGTAATGGAAAATGCCAACAGATATTCTTAGATATCCACAAGCTTTTAAGAAAACCAATTCCATTGGGTGTGGATAATCTGACTTGGACCATATTGAAATCCATGGAAGAGGACCATGCTGGATTCATGACTGAGCAACACAAGAAGCTAAACATTGCACTTGCTGTGATGCATGAATCTTTTGAGTCTATTGTAGAACCTCGCACTCACAGGGATCTTATGGAGGACGTTATTTTTAGTAGGGGATCAAAATTAAAGCGTTTGGACTTTAGGGGATTTTACACTGTACTACTGGAAAGAGGGGATCAAGTGGTTTCTGTAGCTCTTGTCAGAGTCCATGATGAAAAAGTGGCAGAAGTACCCCTTGTTGCTACCCGACTTGCATTTCGACGTCTTGGAATGTGTCACCTCCTCATGAATGAGCTTGAGAACAAACTCATGGAGTTAGGGATAGAAAGGTTAGTTTTGACTGCAGCTCCTCAGGTTGTACATACATGGACTACGTCATTTGGGTTTTCTACAATGACAGAGTTGGATAGACTGAATTTGCTAGAGTACACCTTTTTGTATTTCCAAGAATGTATCATGTGTCAAAAGTTTTTGACAAAGACAGTGATATCAATATAGATTGGTGAAGAATTTCTTTTCGGTTTTTTTATGGAAAAACTTGTGGGTCTGTTATTAAAAACAAGCATTATAGTGTTATCAATTGCAGCTTGAGAACAGACTTTTGGAGTTAGGGATAGAAAGGTTAGATTTGACTGCAGATCCTCAGGTTGTACATACATGGACTATGCCATTTGGGTTTTCTACAAAGACAGAGTTGGATAGACTGAATTTTCTAGAATACACCTTTTTGGGTTTCCATGATTTTATGATAGTATCATGTGCCAGAAGTTTTGACAAAGATAGTGATATCAATGTAGATTGGTGAAGAATTTTCTTTCTTTCCTTCTTTTTTTTTTTTGGATGGGAGAGCTTGTGGATCTGTTATTAAAATCAAGCATTGTAATGTTATCAATTGGAGGTTTTTTTTGGTAAGAAGAGGGAAATAACTTGACCTTTTTGTAAGGTTATGAGGCTCAAATCTCATTTTATATGTAAAACTTTCTCAAAGTTTCAAATGAGTGTAAAGTTCTATACAGCCTTAAGTATTAATGTCGTGTTCCTCTCTTTCAGCCACTTGAAGGTGTGATATTCCAATCAAAACCGGCAATCAGATATGATTTCTTCTTGATTGTGTTCCTCTTAAGTACCCCTGTTTATACCAGTTCCTGTCCTTCTCTCCTCCCACAAAATCATTTGATTTTTTTCTCGCCAAAATTACCCATTAAAAGATGGCCATGATGGTGGATAGATACTGAGATGAATGTGTGAAGCACATGTATGTTACTGCTTGTGAGATTCTTCTATCATGTAAACAGTTGTGGTCCAAACCATATGTATAAACTGATCAAATCATATATACAAAACCCGATTGAAATGAACCCATTATTACCAAGGAAACTGTGTAGGTATGCAAGAAACAATTAAATACTAAAGACTCACCTTGATTCCTGATCAGTCCAAAAATCCATGGGTAAATTACTTGAACCTTCTCTGTCTTTTCTGAGAAATGCTTTGACCTCCTCAGAAAACTCCTTGAAAGTGATGTTCATGATTTGAAATACTTTAGGTGCTGTTTGGATAGACTTTTTCAAAGTACTTTTGTACTTTTGAACAAAGGATGGAGTTGGATATGGAAATGTTCCATGTCCCATCCCTTCAAGAGTAAATTTCTTCGTGGACTTCTTCCCTGGACAGAATTCTTACTGTGGATCACCTTACATATAGGGGTATGGTGCTTGAAGACTGTTGATCACCTCTCTGGTCAAGAGGATGAGATAGTTAAATCACCTCTTACTACACTACAGCTTCGTTCACAGAATTTGGTCCTTTTTTTTTTGAAACTTTTTAACAGACTTGGGGTAATGCCAAATGAGTTTTCATGTATACTATCTGTATGTCCTTCTAAAGAATTTAGAAGTAGGGGCAGTACATTGTGGAACCTGGTCACTGGTGCTTGTGTACTGGGCAGTATAAGTGGAATACAATAGCAGTATTTTTGAAGGCAAATTTAAAGAGGTGGAAGTGATGATTGGCAGTATCAAAAGAAGGATCTGTTCTGATGGGATGGAGCTTCAAACAAGTTCACACACACCACTTTTTTCTAATTTGAATCTCACTGGGGACAAATCATTAATAGAGGTTATTTGCTAACTTCAATAGCTTTTTATTCACAGGACATATTTTGTATATAAGAAGTTTGGATAGTCACTGTCAAATACAGGCTTAGTTTGGGAAGAGTGCAAATACAAGGTTTTGCATTGAAAATATTTGTATTTTCATTCTTCCCAAACTGATTTTGGAAAGAGTATAAATACAAATATGTACAGTGCAAATACTTGCAAAATAATACAAAATACAAGCTTTTGCACTCTACACATTTGTATTTATACTCCTTCCAAACTGAGCCTTGGAAAGAATACAAGTACAATATGTACAGTATAAATACATACTAAATACAAGGTTTTGCACCCTACAAATTTGTATTTGTAGTCCTTCCAAACTGAGCCTTAGTTGAAAATTGCAGTATAACTATTTTTGTTAGGAAAATCTCTCACTTAATAATACAAAGTTACTTTCACTTATAAAACAAATGTGGATTGAACCTAGTCAACTCAAGTAAATTTCATGTGTGGACATGCTTGGACATACCTAAACTTCTGACTCAATTTATTTTTTTCTCCTGTAAACTCTCAGCTCATGGAGGCAAGCTAGTTTGATCATGTCTTCTGCGTAAATAGAGAAATTGGCCATATAATGAAGTTGGCACTGTTCATATTTAGTGTCTAGATTGTATATCTGATAACTGGAGGTCATCATTTCTAAGAAATATCTCCCAAATATACGTCATTCCTCTGTCTTGGGTGTACAGAAGAATGGGAACAACATTTTTCAGTGATTCCCACTTGATTTCTTGCCTCAGTGTGCCAATTACTAGATAATGCTAATAGTCATAAGTAGATTGTTAAAAATAAGGGTGAATGACTGTTCAGCACACTCTAAGAATTCTTAGTCCCACCGTACAGTTGGGGTAGGTGTCAGTTCGGAATTGATGCCAATTCACGGGCGGGTATTGGTGTTTTAGGGTGGGGATGTTTGTCATTTTGAATTATGTAGGGTTGCAGTGGAATTCAAAATTCTGTAATTGGTTACAATATACTTTTCCGCAAAATGACATATAGGCCGACAAAAAAAAAAAATAATAACATGTGACACTTTTCAAACAGTGAGGCCTTGAATGAGAAACTCTAACTCAGACCAACTCTCATCGATAGGAAGGAAAATGTTATGCATATGATTTCAATAATATAAATAAGCTTCCTTATCCCAAAAGTTCATGAAATATTGACATTTCCCAAAAGTTCAAAGAAACCTAGTGTGATCTTTCCTTTGAACTTAAAAGGCAAAGGCAAAAATTAACCACAATTGTTTTATTTTAATTAGAAAAGAAAAGGCAAAGAATTAATGGTCAAAAGGAACTCTCTTCAAGAAATTTGGGAGTTAAGTGACAGTCTTTGCTGAGCTCTTTTCTGAAGTAACTAATAAGGAAGTTTAAGTTTTTAGTTATAGTAATAACTTAGTGTCACTATAGCTCCTAATACTGTCATTATAGAACCACCACAATAGAATTTAGCAAATAAAATTTCTAAGAAGACGGTATACCTTTTAAGACGGTTTATAGCTAAATCATCACTATAAATAGGGTAAAAGACTTAAACCTCCCCTAAGGTTTAAGATAAATACTTACACCGCCCCTATGGTTTCTAATTAGACTTAGACCTCCCTTATCAACAAGATATATCGTCATATTTAACAGATTCAATAAAATAACATTGTCCCTTTTTTATTCTTTAAATTTTTAAAGAAAACTACCAAACTGTAATAAAAAAAAAGTACGGGACTGAACAAAGAAAGATAAGGCTTACAAATCCAGTGAGAAGATCATCAATCTCAACTAACACTTCCATGATGTTATGAGAGATCAGAATCAAATACAAATTTTTTAATTATAAACTTTGTTGTGGCCTCTGTTGCTTTAAACCAAGCATGTTAGTCCATTGTTCAGAAATCAGAACCTTTTGATTTAATCATGGCTTATTTCATGAAATAACGTCATATTATTTCATTTGATTGTTTTTACATCTTTACTACAATCATGTCCTCCAACTATAATTCTAGTTCAAATATTTATTTATTTTGGTTTTTTTAGGTTTTCTGATATAAAAATTAAGTTTAGAGACCTCTGACGTTTGTTTGCCCCATGTTCCACCAATCAGTCCATTTCCTGAGAAATTAACAAAAGAAATAATGTAATATGATATAAGGTGGCCAATGTTATCATCCAAATCTTCTAGTTCCACCGTTGCCAATCTTAGGTTCAGGTTTGGTGAAGGGCCTGAGATTCAAGATTTGTGCATTAGAATGTGATGCAGTCCATCTGGTTGGGTCCTCCCCCAAAAATTTGTATCAATTAAAACACCTTCTATGAGTGTGAAGATGGTTTGCTTGATGTCACGCATGGTTTTTAAAATCGGACCGGACCGGAAAAACCAGGAATCGGTCAGATGATGGGTTCCATTTTTTTTAAAATTGGGTTTTTTCCTAAAAATCGTTGATATTGGTCAGCAAACCACTGACCCAGGCGGTTAACCATTCGAACCGTTTGAACAGTTTTGATCATTTTTTATTTTTTTATTTATTTTTTGTCAGAACGGACTGACCATTCAACCCGGGAACCAGACCCCTGACCGGTTCGTTTGCTGGGTCAGTTTTAAAAGCCTTGATGCCACGTATGAATATACTGGCATCTCTGTTTCAAACAACGGTTTTGGAACGTTGACAAGGTTCTTGATTATCAACTTTCTTGCTATATATTCATTGCATTCAAGTCACTAGCACTCCGAATCTAAATATTAGAATTTGAAATTGAAGGATCCGCCAACTATATTGTTCAAGACAGAGTAGCACCACCGCTGGCACATATGCGAGTCATGGAAGATGCAAGAGGAAATCATGAATAAATTACTCCTCCAGGGGGATGAAGAAAGAATATATAGATGGGCAAAACTGGGTTTTGAAAAAAAAATAATAATAACCAGCACATAATGTGATGTACAAACGGATCTGGATGGAGTGTAACGGAGGGGGAAGTATTATTCCTTGATGTCACTCAATGAGGGAGGTCTTAGTCCAATTTAAAAAAAAAACAAGGGATGTTTCAGTATTTAGGAGAAATCTCAAGGGAGGCTTAAGTCTCTTACCCCTATAAATAACATCACTGCAAATAACAATCCTTGTACAAAAATCAAAATAAAAGGGTAAATGACAAGGACCCCCCCCCTCCAATATCTCCCTGAACTTTCATTTGCGACAAGGCCTCCCTTAACTTTTTAACTTTGCAACAAATACCCCTTCCATTAGACTTCTGCCTGTTAACTTTGAAAAAGGATTCTCATTTAGTTATTTTTTTTATCTCAAACTACCATTTGCTTATTTATTTAAATGATTTATGATTCTATTAGTTTTTTAAATATAGTATTGAAGTTCTCTTAGTTGCTCCAATAGATTTTTGCAGATTTCTAACTGGATTCAATATTCAAATGAAGTGGTAGAGGTTTCTTTCTAATAGATGTAAATTTATGGTTTCATTTAATTTTTCTTGATTTACTGGAGAAAGGAGTAGATAATTTTTATGTTTAAAGATTAAGAGAGACACCCAAGACAGTGAAATGAATCAAGAATTAAAAAAAAAAAATCTTTTTTTTTTTTTGCTATGCAAGTGAAATGATTCTTGTTATTTTAGTTGGTTTCATTTGGAGAGTTGGGAGTATTTTTTTTGTCAATTAGGGTTTATGAGGAAAGTGTGAGGAAAATAAAATAAGGAAAGTTCAGGTGGGAATTTCGGTAATTTAATGCATTCTATCATCTAACATAAATGACCTAGTGTATTTGACCCAAAGTGAAAATTTAGGGGGGTTTTGTCACAAATGAAAGTTTAGA